AATACTTCAAATTTATACTTAGTTAATATCAAAAAAATATGAAGTTATTTTAACTTATATATCAGTGTCACAAAAAAATCAGAGTGGTGAACAATGCACTTTTAAATATGTTGTCATATCTTCAAGTGTTGATAAATCACGTTTCCCATTTTCCCACGATGAAGCCTTTATCCTCATACTTTCTTTCTTATTTTCTGCAAGTTGTAAAGCTGTTAAATGTTGGCAATTTTTCTTGTAAGGGTCGAAAGTCTGCAGGGAATTTGTAGAACGTTGTAAAAAAGCATGCCAATTATCAACAGCATAAAAATTGTGCAAGTGTAAAGATTTAACAGCCATATGCAAAACGCTATTCCCATCATAATCACAAATCGACAAAGCAACACCTTTTGGAAAAAAGTTTGTGTTAATATCACTTGCTTTCTTCTTATAGCAGTCATTATAGGTGTTTCTCCAGGCGCATTTTGATCATTCAAATCTGCTTTATAAGTTACAAAAACTTCAAAGAAATGAGCCAAGGTCTTTGAGTCTTCTTTATCTTCATCCCAATATTCAATCACTTTATGCAACAGCGTATTTCCTTCATCATCACGATCTTTCAACACTTCTGGATTTGATCTAATTGTTACAGCTAAGTATGAACAAAGGTCCCATTTTAAAAAAGAATATGAACCTTTAACAAAAATATCAAACAAATTAGTCAAAAGCTTTCATTTTTTATCGTCATCCCAATATTCAAGCTTCATCTTCTTCCAATATTCACCATCGCCATTATCGCTAGCGTCCGCCTTCTTATCCATTTTTAAAAAACTAGTTAATTTTTCGCGCGTTGACATTATTTATAAGATTTTGCCGCTGCGGAGCCGCACCCTACCGCATGACGCTGTGCAGGAGCACTAGGTTTAATATGCAGCAGGAGGAACTTTGGTATATACTACTATTACATTAGCAAGCTTTATACTTCGATAGACTTGGAATGTCGTATTTTTTGACTCTTACGGAAGGAATCCTAATAAATTATTTTTCGAATTTGAACATCTTATTAGAACTTTATATTATTATTTCGAATTATTCGATTTTAATATAAGATCAGCTGTCAAACATGTGACTGTGAGTGGCTTAAAACAAGCTAGAGAGGATGCAAAAAGATCATCAAATTCAAGGTAACAACACTAACGTCTGTGGGGAATATAGTACTTATTTTCTTTATAATATATCTTTAAAAGTTAGAGATCCAGCTGTTGATGCTTATACTTTTTCTTAAAAAAAATTTTCTATTTCAAATCAAAAGAAGATAAACATTCTTGTCCTCTTAGCTATAGAAATCTATGGTGTGTAAGAAATGATCAATTAATACAAAAAAATTTTTACAATACTTTCTCATTTCATTTAAGAAATATATTCTTGTCGTAAATATAGTTATAATTTTTAATCAGATAATAAAAAAGAAACAATTAGAAATTTATACTTAAACTAAACTAATTATCTTGTTCAAAAAAGGTTCTCTTTACACAAATGCTAGTCTTTTTCTTCTTAACCTGCTTCATCAAATACTTTCCTCTTGCCAATGTGCGAATAATGTCTCTCAACCTTTTATTAGCTGTTCTTAAATACATAAGTTTCTTTTTATCATTCTCCCTTTTAGCTACAGATCTTTGTAATATTATAGCCAAAATGTCCTTCTGTGTTAGCGCTTCTAGTTTCTCAACCCTGTGCTGAGCTCTTTCTTGGTTCATGTTCTCCATAATTTGTTCCATTCAACTAGGTCTGCTTGAGAAATTTCGGAGTTGAAATTGAACATCCTTATGAGTTGCCAAACGACTAGCCATTTCCATAATCAAACTATAACTCCTCCCCAAAAGATCTGACATATTGTGTTCATCACTATTATGGATAACATCTCTGTATATTTGTAACATTGACTTTAAAACACTATTGTTCTCTACAGAAACGATCAAAGAGTGTACAAGTCTATTGTTAGATATTGTTAGAGTGTTTAAAACTAACAATCATGCTATCAACGTTCTTCTTATACATCATAAAAGCATCAAAAATGATTTTAACATACCCTCTCCAATATTTTCTAACCGAATTCATCTCAGCATTAGTCTGTGAAGATTTCTTCAAACTCTCTGTAAGTGGTTTTTTTGTTTTTTTCAGTTCTTTTTACAACAAAGATATTTTATCATCTTTTTCCTTCTCATCTGATTTTCCCAACAGTGTTATAAATTGCCACATTCGAATATTTACTTCCTCTGGAAAGTATAATAAAACCCGACACGCGGACATTTAAGTTTTGGTTTTTTCATAAATCCGCTAATAATGTCAAATGTGAAAACTTCCTCAATGTCGGAATCTGCTTTGTCTTCTTCTTCCATAATCGACTCAATCATTTTATATAAGCAATAAACACACAAATCATGTCCGCAATTTAATAAGCAAACCCTTTCTCTGGACTCGTTTGTACTAAAATCTTTCAAACAAATTGGACACATTTCAACTGCATCAATTCTAGCTTGCACATTATCTGAAGGAATCAATTCCAAATGATGATGTTGACGACATTTGTAGCGAAATTTAGTATTCTCAAAATTCTTATCCATATCTTTCATCAAAGTAGTTGGTAAAATCAACCACGAATACAAATCTTTATTTGCATTTTCAAAAACTTTTTGCAAAGCGTTATTTTCTTCTTTTTCATATTTATCACATTTAGTTCCACGACAAGCACCGAACTGTGATAAAGTATATCAAATCTGATCCATAGTTTGAGAAAAATTTGTAACTGGTTGTGACATTACAGCGCCCTCAAAATTAAAAAAACTCACATATGGCATTAAAAAAAGTCGTAGTTCCAGAGCTCTTGTAGCATAAAGATCGTTATCACCTTCACCAATAACTTTTCTTTTCATAATACATTTTCCGATAGTATTTGAGATACGTTTTTCAAATTGATAACCCATTTTAGCTTTGTCCATAACTTGAGAAAAACTACCTCATTGACAAGGTACACTGAAGGTTCGACCAAAACAAGCAGTTCTTTCATCATAACCAGGCAAACTTTGATCAACATCAATTTTAACTTCATTTTTAACTTCATTTCTTCAATTTTAACGTCATTTTTATCACCAGGCATTGGTTTTGAAATTAGGTCTCTTTTAGGCTAAACTTTTTTCGTCATTTAACTGTGTATTAGGTCTGTGCTCTGACGTCGTTATCAATTGAATAGGTTTCTGTTGGTTTTTTTCCCTGTCAACATGAGGCAGTTCACCTTTTCTCCACATCATAAAATGATCATACTTTTTACCAATTGTAAGTACAATACCAATGATTATCTAGACACGGGTCTAATTTATAATACCAACAACCCTGAGAGTATTCTTTAATTCCGATTTCGTTTTCAATATCGATAGTATTGCAACATTAGCTCTCCATTATAGAACTTTCTTTCCAAAGTTCGTACATTGATGGTACATTGTCTATAAATTCTTTGACAAAGTCTAATTCAGTAGAATCTTTCGTCATAGAAAATAATAATTGAAAATAACGAATTCTCCATCCCAAAGAACTGTAGTAAAAGTTCGCATGTTCTTCTATAGCCCACTTTTCAATAAGTGGGAGAAAACGATGTTTATAATAGTCTAGTGTGAATGATTCTGGAACTTCTTCCAACAAAGGCTTATTTCTAACAACAGCTATTTCTAAAGAGAGTTGAGCATACCGCAACAAATTCTTTTCTTCGTCTGTCATAAAAGCTTCCGGCTTCGGATCGAATGTACCCTCTAATCGTAACTTCCAGTTGTTGATGAAAATAGCCCAATCATCCAAAAAAAATTCTGCATCCATATTGTCTTTGAACAAAGTCTCCATCCCATTTCGCAAGTCGAAATATCTTCGCATGTTGTAAAACTCAGCCATGGCTGAACGCTTTTCATTCTAACTCAAGGTAGGCATAATTTTATACTGTAAGTGTAAAGGTAACAACCAATCAAATATTGAGATAATTATAACATTAAACGAACTTTGGACCTAACTTTAAAAAAAAGTTAAATGTTAAGAACAAACGTGTGAATTGTCTTTTTAATTTTGTAGTAGCATGGCGCTTGTTGTGTGTTTATTTTAGGTAATAGGGTAAAAGGAGATAGAAAGTGCATGAAACATTTTGAATTAAAATAGAATTTGACTCGGCTCCTGATGTGCTGATCCCGAAATCAGGTCTAAGTGCCGTGCAGACTGATAAAAAGCATCAGATTTCTTGAAAACTGGAACTATAATTAACTATTTTATTAACATTGTAATTATTTATTATTTTCGTTCATTGCATATTTCAGGCAATGCTACGAACAAACAACAGAATTCTTTCTACAGAGCAACTCAAGTCGTTTTCACGACTGTCTGTGTATGAATTCAAAATACCCAAAACAAGAAAAGCGTCAAGAGAGCTTCTCAAGAAGTATGGCGTTGCACAGAAAACAGTCTCTCCTTGTGAGCATTTTTTCATACCGCCACAGGAAACCCTTCTATCATGGAAACATCAGCATCAGCATGCGAGGCATCTTTCCATTGGATATTTCTATATTGAAAGTGACTATGGTTTGTACAATGTAGGGGTAACCAATGCTGCTGAGCAACTGCACAGGGCCAGAGAAATTCACAAATTTGTGAAAGAAGAGCTCGACTGGTTTTCTGAGACTTTGCTCCTTCCAAGTGCTGTTGACTCTGTGCCATCACGAGCAACTTTAAATAGCTTCAGGTCATTTATACACAACCATCCTTACAGTAAGGAAATTGCACGCTTACAAATGACCGCATCAGAGCTGGCTCAGGTATGTGGGAAAAGACTGCTATCTGGCGATCATATTCGCTGGCTTTTCAGCAAACTAAATATGCAGCAGGACCAAATGTACTGTGTCTATGCAAACTCAGTTTTTGAATGTAGAAGCCCCCGCAACAGATATCTTCAGGGGAAATCCGCACCGAAAAGAAACTGGGTCGTATTCAATATCTTCAAAGAACAATCAGTTCAGCATGGAACTGAAAAATGGGATGTCGCAATAATGAGAGGTTTTGGAAACACTGGATCACACTTTGCCATAGCCATACTAGATAAGGAAAACAATGAATTAGCATATGGAGATTCACTCGGATGGTCTTCACATTCACAACATGGTCATTGATGCTCCACGAGGTGCTCGTTGCATTTCTCACTCCAGAAAGATGGTAATATTTGTGGCGTGGTGGCAGCTGAGAATTTTTCCAGTTTGTCTTCAGCTGTAAAAGGAAACAAGAAGATACAGAATCAAGGCTGTTCTTTTCTAATCCAACAAAGTATGACAAGTACCTCCACCAGGTTTTGGCAGCATGGCTTGCAGAGGACTATGTTTCGATGAAATATCTTGTTTCATCAGATGTTTTGACGGGCAAATTGCCCTACATCCCAATGGATACAATGGAAGAACAGGAAGAGCAGAGTGACATCATTCTGGTTGAATTTGACGCCCAAACTGCTTCTTTGGACACAGGACTTCAAGGAATTCCTCATGCATCAACAGAAACGAGTAACCAATTGTCTTTCCTACCAATGGCGAATGATCTACCTGCAGCTGCAATTAAGTAAAGTCTACCTGCGAGAAAAAAGAACAATCAAAAAGTGTAAATTCCCAAGCCAAAATAGAATGTACACATTGCATGTTTTCAACAAACAAGCGGGGTAACCTTAAAAGACGTGTACAGGAAACATGGAGAAGAAGCAGTCAGATCGGTTGAGAATGGTGCCTGCCTTTGCTTAGAGTGTGGACATAGATATTTTCTGATAAAAGATCTTCGTACACATCTAACAGAAAAACATGACTACATTTTCAGAATAACAATGAAAGAGTTCCAGTCACTCAAAGGTAAGAAAGTATTCACTTTTCTGCTATTTTCTGGTTGTGTATTTTTGAATTCTACCTTTTCTGTTTAATTTTTATTGATAATCTTTGTTTGGTACACAGCTCAAATCCTAAGTCGGTGCTATTCAAGAATGTCTATGCTTTTACCTTTAATCCATTTCAACTGAGGATAACTGATAGGTAATATTTCATTATAGAACAGCATTAATGTATTGACTCAATTCTTTCAGCAAAGTTGTACTGTAGAAGTGTGTAGAATGATATTTTTATGATCTACTTTTTACCTAAAAATTCCATGAGTGGATAGCCGAAAAAAAAGAAGAGGAACAAACATCGTTCAGAGCATACGGACGTGGAAAGAACAAGCTAGGCCAGACGGTCGAATACTTCCAGTGTAATCGTTCTGGAGTTTTCAAATCCCGAGTCGACAAGGAGAAGAGGCACAGACATTCAAAGGCAGGAGGTAAATCCATCAATTTACTTGCTTTTGAAATATCAGTTTTAATGATGTTGTGTTCACTAACAGTTTTTATTAAATATGTCAATGTTCAGTAAAGCATATCCTTTAGGACGTAAAAGCAAAATTTGAAGCTGAGGTTCTCAAGATTTGTTTCTACTTTTAGGTTCTTGTAGAATGGACAGAAACTGCACCTGTACGATGAGAGTTACTGAAGATCCATCAAAACGCAAATTTGTTAAGTTCTGCCTATCCCACTATGGTCATCAGAGATCTTTGCAGTACCTTTGGCTGTCAAAGAAAGAGAAAGAAGAAATCGCAGCAAAATTGAAGCAAGGAGTTTCGAAAGAAAAGGTGTTGGATGCGGGAAAACATCAGTGCAATTTTTTCTAGGGATCATTTAATCGACAAACAGGATTTGGCAAATATTAGAAGAGCATTTGGAATCGATGAAGTGGAGCGGCATCCAAACGACATGACGAGTGTATTATCTTGGATACAAGAATGGCAGAGCAGTGATAAAAACCCCATCCTCTATTATAAATTGCAAGGTACCGACATATTTTAATGCTTGAGGTATCTTAACAATGTTTTGATTAAAGTTGTGGCTATGTAGTTTCAATCCACTAAAAGAAATAATTAAAAGAACATCTTGCCTAAGAATGTCAGAACACTTTCAAGTAAGTTTTTTCTTTGGGTGAAATCGCTTGTAGAAAGTAGAGGAAAGTATGAAAAAATTTTACTTAGCGAATTTCATTATTAAATCGTGATAATTAATCGTTTCAGGTGATGCTGATCCACAAGGAAATCTAGCAGAAGAAGATTTTGCAATAGTCATTCAAACGGAATTCCAACAACATCAAATGAGGAAGTTTGCAGGCAAAGGAATATGTTGCCACTGAACTCACGGGACAACTGGTAAGAAATATCTTTATTTTAACACAATCAGATCAAAACAATGATTATGGAAACATAAATGACATCATTAATGTATATATTCACATTTTCCTAAAAGCACGCAATTTCAAAAAACTATTGTCACAACTTTTCCTTTTGAATAAAGGATGCTACATGAATAACATGCTACCAGAAAATGTAACATTTGTAAGCCGATGAATAGGCAACACTAAACATTGAAAAATGGACAAAACAAATCATACTGATATTGGAAATGAACATCAATGAAAACATTTTGAGTGCAGCAAAAAAATTAGCTAGATGAAATATTAGATCTATGCTTCTGTAATTCTAATCTTTAGGTTACGATTTCAAGCTAACATCACTATTAATTGTTGATGAATATGGCGAGGAATTTCCAGTTGCTTGGTGCCTTTCAAACCGAGAAGACTTCTGTACCATGAAGATGTTCTGCGAGCAAGTTAAACAGAAGACAGGCAATTTGGCTCCTACCTGGTTCATGTCTGACATAGCACCCCAGTTTTGTAAAGCATTTAGCACAGTTTATCAGTGCACACCTCGGCAACTGTATTGCACTTGGCATGTTGATAAAACGTGGCAAGAGCAACTTCGTAGCAAAATAAAAGATTTTGAGATTGAGTCTCAAGTTTATACACAACTCAGGATTGTGCTGGAGCAAACAGATGAAAGAAGATTCCACAACTACCTCTCTCTTCTCTGTGAACGCCTGCACAATTCAAGTGCAACAAAGGAATTTGGAGACTATTTTGATAGCCATTTGGTAAGTTATGCCAGTCGTTGGGACTACTCCTTTTGCTGTGGCCTTGGAATCAACACCAACATGTTTTGTGAGGCTTTTCACAGGGTATTCAAATATAACTATCTTAAAGGAAAACAAAACAGAAGAGTTGATAAATGCCTTGTAAACCTAATGAAATACAGCAGAGACAAGAATTTTGAAAGAATCATAAAGCTGTCTAAGGGAAAGGTGACACAGCGACTAAAAATGATCCAGGAATGTCATCAAACAAGTCTCCACCTTAGCTTTGCAAACATAACAACAGATTCTGATACCGAGTGGCATGTCAGTTCTGAAACTGAAGGGCGAACATACGATGTCAGACTTACAGACCAGGTATTATACTTACCTTCAAATTTGAAGTTTTTGATCACTTCTTAATTTTGAACTGTTAATTTTGAACTTTGTAAATTTGAACCTTTTAATTTTGAATTTTACTTTAAAATGAAAATTTTTTGCTAGGCTATTGCAAAATTGTTAAGTTTGTGTTAAAAATTTGCAATTACATTTCTATCTAGTAGTTAGAAAAGAGGGCTCAGGGGAAGACTAGTTGTTAGATTACCCTGGTTCATCCTCTAAAAATAAAGTTTTTCGATCTATTTATCTACCTATCTATCTATCTATCTACCCAGGTATGTTCAGATTCCACATGTGCACTTCAGTGTGTTGAGTGTAAAGTATGCGTCCACACATACTCATGTACATGCATTGATTTTCTGCTTTATTGCACAATATGCAAGCATATCGATTTAGTACAACGCCAGAGGCAACGTCTGGGAACAACAAGCCAATCAGAGGAAGCATTGGAAAGCATAACAGCAGCCAAATATGCAGATGATGTTGAAGAATTGACGGAGCTGACTCAAATGTTTCAAAAACAGTTATGGGTCCACTACGGAAAGAGCCAAAGACTTGCTAGATTCAATAATTGGAACTGTTGAGGATAGTGACTATAGACATACAGAGGCCATCCAGCATCTGATAAGGTGTGGAATTGCACTTAAAAAGACCATTATTTCCATGAAGAAAGTATCCAATGTGGTGCAGCTTGAGCCAAAAATCAAAGCAAACAACAAAAATATTGAGAAGCGACAAAAATTCTTTGCAACAACGAAGAGGAGAAAAAAGGGAAACTTCCGCTTTGCAAAACCCATTGATGATGATAAAGAAAAGTTTGAGACAAACGAGGAATTCACAGTGGCAATTTCAGAAAAAAATGATGACAAGAGCACTGCACAGCAGAACAATAGGACTGACACCATAAAAGGTCAGTAGAAAATACATACTTGGATAGGAAAGGATTTGTTAGCTATCAGGTCAATTAAGCCAAATAGTTTTATTGGTGAAGGGTGGGAAGCTATGCTTTAGCCTACAGTTTTGCCAGAAGTTTTCTATTCAGATATATAGCTATAAAACACTTGTTGGTTAAGCTTTCTATTGAATATGTTTGATTATTTTTTTTTACCCTTGGCTGAGATGTGAGTGTTTTTGTTTTAAAACATCCATTGAATACCTATTTGCCCTTTTTGGTGTTCCTTCGCTTATTTTGTATCTTTAATCTGCTAACATGTAAGTTTCATTAATAGTTTCAAAGAGTTCTTTAGAAGCTGGGAGTCAGAAACATCACACTGGCTGGAAAATCAATTGATAGGAAAATTGATGTTGGTGATATTGTGTCAACTGATGATTTTCCGGACCCGTCACTTGTCAACTTCAACATTGAATCTATAAGGCCGATGTTTACTGAGGAGGCATGGGAAAAGGTGGAAATGATGTGTGAGTTGGCTTCGTTTTACCTAATCATATCTATATGTTGTTATACTAGATATTATCATATGTCTAATAGGACTAATTCATGGCAATATTGACTGACATAAATTTTCACAATTTTATCCTAATATTTAGGTGAAAAACTGAATAAAGAATGGACATGTTCTGTCTGCAACACGCCACAGTACGCTTAAATGTTTATGTGTGATCTCTGTATGAAGCATGGTATCATTGGTATGTAATGTTTCTTACTATAATATAATATCTCAAGTTTATAAACCTGTTTTATTTACAAAATAAACTATATTCTACTGTTTTGCTTTAGTGGTTGCTAATAGCAATTTTGAAGTTATTTGCGATCAAAACATCAGCGGTTGAACTTTTCGAATTCCGTTCGATTTCCTGTAATGAACGCCAATCTTGAAATCTTTTCGCCCAAACTAGCAGCAACAATGAAAGTTTTTACAGATTTACAGGGGAGGAATTAGGTAGAAGTCAAGAGGAAAATGATGACGATATATCTGTTGGCGAATCTCAAGTGAAAATGAAGAGGATGATGATGAAACAGCAGAGTGGCCTGATGTAGAGGTTGCCGAGTGGACTGATGTTTTGCAGCCTGTTTTTATTCCGCCATTCAACGAGTAAACAGGACCTCCACAAGAGCTTGAGGAAACATCAAAAGAAATTGACTTTTTTCATCTATTATTTGAGAAAAACATTTACCGAAGGTTGGCAGAAGAAACAAATAGATATGCCCAGCAGTTACAGACTGAGCGTGACATCGACAAGTCTTTGCAGCCAACAACCCCAGACGAAATCCAAACATTTATTGGAATGCGGTTTTACATGTCAGAGATGCGGATGTACTGGTCAGAAGACAATTTTTTGGGAAATTTTGGAATTTCTGAAGTTATGCCCAGACTGCGCTTCGAGAAACTCTCCCAGTATTTCCATGCAAATGATCGTGCAGGGTACAACAGGCAAGACCCCGATCGGGATAAGTTGTATTTGATTAGGCCTGTCCTTGATTCGGTGCTTGCTGCTTGCTTGAACAGCTATCGTCCACACAGGGATGTTGCAGTTGACGAAGCCATGATAAAGTTTCGTGGTTCACTTGGCTTCAGACAATACATGCCAGCAAAGCCAACAAAATATGGCATAGAGGTTTGGGCCCATGCAGACAGTGGAAACGGCTATGTCAGTGAGTTTGAGGTGTATATTGGGAGACCAGCTGGTGGCCAACGGGAAGTTGATTTGGGACGAAAAGTTGTCTGTAAATTGACAAAAAAATAAAGGGAAAGAACCACCATATTTATTTTGACAATTATTTTAATGGAATTAAACTCCACGAAGACTTGTTAGGGAACAATTTATATGGCTGTGGCACCGTGAGAGCCAATGCTGCTGGTTTACCCCAAGCAATGAAGGCAAGCAGGTGAGTATAAAACTTGCTTCTAGCGAGTCGAAAATCTGGCAGAAAGGCATGGTATCTGCTATGTTATGGAAAGAAAAAGCCAAAAAAGCCCGTTAAAATTCTAGCTTCCAATTTTGACCCATCTCAGCCGGAGACGTTCGTCAGACAAAAACAAATAGATAGCCAGTACAAGGAGGTTCCATGCCCTGTGCCTGTAAAAGCTTACAATGAAAACATGAATGGCTTCGACAGAAGGGACCAGATGAGGACGGCTTATTCATCTGCCAGAACTTCCAAAAGATGGTGGACTTATCTGTTTTGGTTTTTGATTGACTTGTCAATTCACAATGCCTTGATTTTGATGCGGGAGTCAAGAAACCACAAACTGGTCACTCGCGCCGGCAGACCCAAGGAAAGGCCACTGATTAACTTTAGAAAAAACCTTGAGGCTCAACTTATAGGAGAAGAAAGAAATGGGAGAAAGAGAAAGAGAAGTATAAGGCCTGATATTTCTGGTGATGGACATTGGCCAAAGAAAGTAGAAACAAAAGGGCGATGTAGAAATTGCTCGAGGAGAAACGCGAACGGACAATCACGATTTATTTGTACTGGATGTAGCGACCTTTACACCAGAAAATTAGTTTATCTTTGCGTTTTAAATAAGGATTGTTTCTCTCTTTTTCATACAAATAATTAATAATTTTTTTTATTTCTAGATATAGATTTATATCATCTCTTTTCAGTTTGACATAATTCTACAATAACACCTAACAAACTAGTGATATGTAGCTTCAGTAAACTCCACTAACTTTGAATAAGAATAATCCCGGAAGTATGACTTTTAATAATATAAATTTTGTATCATTAGAAAGATTAATCTTTAACAAATACTTTTGTAATACTTCATTTTTTGATTGGATTTGAGGAACAAGCCGAAAGTTTGAATTTATGACTGAACACTCTTATTTCATTTGTTTAGTTGACACCTGCTGCGGATACAGGGCTGGAAGGTGGCTTCTTTGAATAGGGATACAAAACACAATTGACCACGCATTCAACAGGAGTCTATGAATTAATGCCAAAAAACGAAATCTTCTATCAAGTGTCGGTAGACTCCATTGGTAGCAGCTGTAATCACGCTTCACAAGTCTAAAACTCCAGTACCTTTGATATTTTTAGGAACATACTTTTTCAAATCATCAGCAAGTGAGCTAGATAGATAGACAGACAGACAGACAGACAGACAGACAGACAGACAGACAGACAGACAGACAGACAGACAGACAGACAGACAGACAGACAGACAGACAGACAGACAGACAGATAAATAGATAGATAGATAGCCAGATCGGTGAAGCCCCAATTCCACTTTATGGTGCCCTATGCCTGCATTTTTCGAAGTGGCTTTAGGGCGCGCTCCCTATTTCCACGCTTGGTGCCCTAAATCCACGTCTTTGGTGCCCTACTTCCACGAAAGAGCCCTAAATCCACCTGAGCCCTATTTTCACTTCAACTCTGAATCATGCGTTTCTGCCTTGTTGCATTCGAAGTGGATTAGCTCTTCAGGCTGTTTTTTATGTTATGTTTTTTATGGTTCTTGATTAAGGGTAAGTGCTTATTTACTGTGACATATTTAAGACATAGTTTTTTTTACCATTATGCTTCCCGTTGCTATTATCAGCAGTGATGGTCTAGGCCTAGCTCTAAAGGCGTCATCCTAAAAAGGTAATCCAACTTCAATTAAGAAAAGGGGTGCTCCTTGCTAATCAAAAACACCTGGAGGACAAATGTTCATAACATGTGTTCATAAAGCAGTTGTCAGGTAGCCCGGGTGTTTGTTGTGAGTAGTGACTGAACTTAAATGGCCAAGTCTCATAATTCTCTCTCTTTTTCATCGGAAACTTGTGGATAGCAGCAAGAGAACAACTATTGAACCAAAAAGAATAGTTAGTTGTATGCCTACTGGAAGTTTTCTTTGCCTGAATTCTAGATCTATGTGTTTTTGCTTATACTGAATTGATAGGGCCACCTAGATATCATTGGTGATTGATCGTTCTCTCTTTAAATCTACTTTGGCAAGAAGCTTAATAATTTTGATGAATTTGTTGAGTAAATTATTCAATAAGCGCTTTCGATAAAACAGTGCATCATGGGTAATCAGGATCTCTGCGAGGGATTGTTTGCGTTGCTAGTAAACAGAGCCCAGAGACTACGCTCACCATACTTTCGCTATTTGGAAACTTCGAATTGAGTCCGACACGCATCGATTCACGAATAAGGTAAGAATCCTTCGTTTGGACTTTGTTTAGCTAACTTTTTTCCAACAATCCCTTTGAACATTGATTGTCATAAAACAGAGGAACTCATGGTTATTTCGATGTTGTTAGGCCCCCGAAGATTTTTACCAATTTTTGTTTTGGTTATTTATTTGTGTAGGTTAACCGCTTCGCTTTGCTTGTGGACATAACACTTCTGTCAAATTACTTAAGCTCAGTTTTTTTCTTGATTCAAGTAAACCAGACAATCTAAATTGCAGAAGATCATAAGTCATTCTCTACCAATGGAAAAGAATTCAGCCAAATGTTTGAATTGATTTTTAGGGAAGATGGCAACGGCTGATGCTAAAAGTCGAGACTTTGGTATGGACTTCAATGATTTTCTGGAGTGGAACCAAGAAAGGCTGAAAAATTTTTTAAAAGTGCGGGGCAAGTCAACAACTGGCAATAAAAAGGATTTGGCTGCAAGAGCATTAGTTGCATTTGAAAATGGTGAGCCTGTTACACAAAGTGCAGAAGATAGCGCACAGAAGTTGGAAAAAGAGTACAACGAGTTACTAGAGAAGTCTACCATACAAGACCCACTGAAAATTCCAAACCATTTATGGTCCACTGATGTAAAAAAATGGCCTAATCTAAATCTTGGGCAAATTTTTCAATATGTTATTGACAATAAAGCCTTCGAAGGCAACTATATTGGCCAATACAAAGCACGAAAGGCCTATTCATATTTCCAGAGTGGACACGTGCAGCAAATATATCAATATATGATAAATGATGAACAAATGTTCTTCAAGGCATGTGTTGTCCCATCAATGAGGGTGAATGAGAGACCAAGAGAAGGCTGGATTCTCTTTTCAAAACACAATGGTGTTTTAACAGCCCACTGTACGTGCATAGCTGGTTGCTCTAAATCTTGCAACCATATTATATCCATTCTGTATAAGGTGAATTTTGCATGCGAGCATGGCTTAAACAGTCCATCGTGCACTGAAGTAGCATGTAAATTTAATGATAAAACGAGGTATGATATTGAGCCAAAGAAGGTTGTTGATCTACCAATAGTCAAACATGACATAATGAACAAGGATCCAAAATATCAAATAATGAATCAAGAGAAGTCAAATTTTGATCCACGTCTTCGTCATCAAACCATAGAAGAGTCTGACAGTGCAGTTAGAATTCAAACATTTTTAGAAAAAATTCGAAAATGTGCACCAAATGCTGCAGTTTTGCTGAACTTTCCAGTTGATGAAGAAAATGACTGCCCTCCACCAATCACTGAAATTGCAGAGCAAGTTAAATCAACAGCCGGTCTGTCAGAAGTTGCCATGCTAGAAGACTTTATGAATAAGATCTCATTCAGGGATAGTCAGTTAGGTGAACTTGAAAAGCTCACAAAGGGGCAAGCAGATAACAAAATGTGGACAGTTCAAAGAACAGGACGAATTACTGCTTCAAACTTTCATGATGTGAAGACCAAGATGAAAGAAATACTTGCATCAAGAAGCTCTGTTAAGCCAGCTACAACTCCTCTTTTGGTAAAACTGACTCAAGCCACAAAAATTGACAACATTGATGCGATAAAATGGGGGAAGCAAAATGAGAACAATGCCAGAGAGGCATTTTTCCAAGCCATTGCAGCAGAGCACAAATCCCCAAAGTTAAGAATGTGTGGACTCAAAGCTTTTAAGAGTGCACCTTTCCTTGCTGCCAGTGCTGACAACATATTTTCTTGTGCCTGTTGTGAAGTGGCATGTGTGGAGTACAAATGTCCATATTCTATAAGAAACTACTGCGTTAGTGATAAGTGGCAAGATCTACCATACTTGAAGCAAGAGGCTGTAATTTTGCACTTAAACAAGAGTCATAAGTACTACACTCAGGTACAAGGTCAGATGGCTGCAAATGATTGCAAACATTCATATTTTGTTGTATTTACAACAGTTGGCAGACCCCTTGTACTCAATGTGGTATTTGATCCTAGTTTCTGGAATTTACTCTACCCAGACCTTGTTTTGTTTTTCAAACTTTATGTTGCAAAGGTTTTGCTGGGGATTAGAGAAATTAAGTTTTGTGCTGTATGTCATAAACACATTCTTGAGCAAAATGAGATTGCTCAAAGTGGTTGCCAGAGCAATGATCAGGTACACTGCAGCAAAAGTTCCTTGACATTTCACAAAAGCTGCTGTAAAAATTACAGTCTGATGTCCTTTTGGGTTTGTGACGACTGTGGTGTTTAAAGAAACAGGCAAAGAGAACACTCAGTGTTAGAAGAAACAATTAAAAAACCTAATGACACAAAATGATTATTAATTATTTGATATGATAATGTTAAGTGAAGCATTAAAAAAGTCAAACATTCTTTTGTCTTAAACCTTCACAGAAACCCTTTGACCATGAACTGTGATAGAATGATTGTATTTATAAATAATAAACTTTTCACAAATGCAATGAATAACTTTTTCAATGAATTTCAAGTGGTCTTAATGGCACTCAAATGCACTTAGAATATCAACAAAACCAAAAACAAACAATTAATATTCATGGGCACATTACTCCTTTAAAAATTCAAAACTCAAAATTATAATTTTGCTTTTAAAAAAGGAAGTATGGGAAGTTATTTGTTGGAAGGTTTTAGCATGTGTTTGAACAAGGTTATTTT